AGAGAGAGAGAGAGCCAGCCACCACCAGGCCGGTACGCGGTTGCAGCTCTGTTTGGCGGCAGTCCGCTTCTGAGAACTAACGGGTCTGCCCCTTTCCCCCTGCAGCCCTCCGCCACGCCACTCACGGCAACGCATCGCATATCCTCCCCACCGCTACGTCCTCTCTACCCCTACCCTCCGCGCGCATGCATCGCGCCTGCGTCGGCGCTGCCCGCTTGCCTGCTTGCCTGCTGCCTTGCCCGCTTGCGCGCGCGCGAGAGAAAGAGAGAGAGCAAGCGAGCGCGCGGCGCGCTGCCTTTGCCGCGTCGTGCGTACCGCGAGTGCGCATCTGGCGTCTGCGCATTGGCGCGAGCGTGACGCGCAAGCGATCATTCTCAGTGTGGCACGGTCCGTCGTGCGAGTACGTTGTATTCTTGTCGTCCGGTGCCGCCACAGCGGTGACACGGTGGTGCGCGCGTGAGAACGCGCGCACGTTGCTCTCCTCGTGACTCTTCTCCCCCCCACCCCTCTTTTTTTTTATTGTTTCTTTTTGTTCGGCCACATGGACATTCGTGCGTTTGTGTGCAAGTGACAGAGACTGAGGATTAAATACAATATGTGCGCGACAATGAATGCAATATTGAACAGCTACTTTCGCGATAGTGGCACGGAAGAAACGATGCCAAGGTGCAACCGGGAGACGGATAGGTTACAGACGAAACGCGAGGGCCGTGCCAGCGCGCGCGTGATCGACGACGTGGTTTTCCGTGTGCGACGCATGAATATGAGACACGGACACGCGCAGTCGGATTGGACGAAAGTATCTCGGTGTGACACTGGTGCTCCGAAAAAGTGTTCGGAGGGATGTTCGCGACGCGAGGGACCACGAGCAGTAATACGTGCCGCGTGCAAGCTGTACGGGGCCGATGGAACCGCGCGAGCGCATGGTGGCGCGACGTGGAATACACTCTCACGGAAGCCCGTTTCTCAGGCCTAGTCTCCCACGTAGGCTCTTATCAGCCGTGCGAGCTTACTAACGATCGGATATCGTGACGCGGGCGTCATGCGGGTGACGAAACGACGCCGCACGTCAGTTACGTCCGTGTAATCGCGGTGCGCTCGCCGACTCGCCCGAAAAAAAAAACGGGGCCGCGCCGCGTGGTTTTATAACGGGATGCCCACGTACGTTCGACCGCGTCGCGTTTCGCCGGGCCTCTCGTGATTCGAGGAAACCCGCCCTCTCGTCGACGAAACTAAAATAAATGCGGCGTAGGTGGTGACCGCCAGTCTCGCGCGCCGCGACTCGCCGGCGAGTGAGAGAGAAGAGTGAGGGGGCGGGGAGGGGGAGAAAAGGAAATGCCGAAGTAACCGGAAGCGCGCGAGAGGAGAAAACGCGGCGCGGTGTAGTTTTCGACCACGATATGTACTCGGATTCCATTCCTTCTGGCCATTCAGGAGAGGAGGCACTCTAATGGCCCTCGTAGCGCGCGGTCACGCTACACTACGGTGCGCCATAGTGCGCCGCGCGGAGACTTCCGGCCCGCCACAGGAAGCGAGACACACGTGTTCGGGCGTGTGTGTTCCCATAATACGATCTGCCTGCCCTCTTCCCCCCTCTCTCCTCCTTTCCCACCCGTCCCTCTTCCTCCCGTTCCTTCCCTCCTTCCCGCTCTCACTCGCTCTACAGTGCGTTCCATATTCGACGGGCCGGCAAAAAGAAGAGCGAGCGCATCGTGTATATGGTGATACGTGCGTATCGTTTCGTCTCGTTTCGTTTCTGCATTCGTTCGTTCTCGATTGTTCGATCGTTAGTTCCGTTTGTTCGCCGAAACGTGCATGAAGAAAAGTGAAACGGAGCCATGAACGTGGAAAGACCACTGGTAAGATAACATCGAGACGAGCATGTAACGACTCTTTATTAGCTTTACACGAGCCTGTAACGGCTTCTTTAACCACATTTGCTTTGCCGTTGACGGTGCGTGGCGAAAGAGAAAGAAAGAGAAAGAGAAAACGAGAGAGAAAGAAAACTTCATATATGCGAGCGAAAGTTTCGTTTAAGGATTGAAACGTTTATTTCAGAAATTGTCGGAGTGCCATTGAATGAAAATATCACATTTCTATTATGTTCGATTCAATCGCACCGTTTTATTACTCGAAATACAATTTTTTTATACGACTGCGTTATGAATGAATCTCCGATATCAACGTCTGTGTTTCTCGCGGATCGGAAAAACTCTCCGTCCTTACATTCTCGGATTGCATTCCGTTTAATTGATTGGTATAAATTTGTTTTTTTTTTTTTGTGTTTCCCCGTATGGTCATGTTATGAATGAGTTTTCAACGTTACATTCATATTTCCCGATACGGCCGTACGCCCGCGGTGCTGTAGTGGTGCTCAACCGTGTTGTTCTCCCCGTTCACACGCGGACTTTGATCCGACAATCAGGAAAAACCGAAGACACTTCAGTTAACTTAAAATACGCAATTTACAATTCTGGATTAACATACCTAGATTCGATAAAATCTGCTTGAAATTATAAGAATGTTCGCAACTTTATTTTCCTCGAACCTTTTACGAAGTATTTAAAGACTTATTTATATTTATTTATCCAATTTGCTCAGTTTTGTGATGCACATCGATAAATCTTATGATATTAATCTTACGATACATTGAAAACAAATTAAGCAAAAAATTAATAACAACTTGGTCAATTGTCCTATTCATAAAATGTATAATATAATTATATTAAAGTTTATAAATGCTATCAGATAATTGTAAAACTACAAGTTTTTATTACAATAATTAGTTAGGATGATAAATCCTAACCTAATAATCACGGAATTATAAGCAACTATAAGCAAAGTTGAATATTTAGAAGCAAGTATAGAGTCATGCCGCAAACTCTCAGGGCCGTAATTACGTGACATATGTACGCACATTGATCACCGCTAATTTTCTCGGCTCATTGGATATAAGTTTTTACTGCTCAATTGATTCCGTTTTCTTAATAAGTGTAGATACTGCTTAGTCTAAAGCAATTATCATAAATTTAAATGAGATTTAAATTCTTAATGCGTACATATATCTTGATTATTACAGACTTTAAGATTATAAAATCTGATTTTATTAGCGAATATCATTCTGAAGAGATATCGAGTGTATGATATCGGAAAAATTTATGCGAGAGAAACACAGAAAAATTTGATACTGCTGCGTGAACAATTAATATTACATTCCTTGAAGAATAAAATTACAGTTATTAGCATTTGATTAGATTGTGTTAAAATATGTGATTTCCGCGATGACAGGTGTATAACATAAAATGAGAAGAAAGTATAGCGAGAAAACCGATTGACGCCCCGGAAAACAGGGCACGTGAAATTACGAGACCATATATTTCTTCAAGAACGTAATACGATAGCAATGCCGGTGTGTAATACCATTTTCGGAGCACTCGTAAACGAGAATCCTCCGCGCTTGTAAGCGCACGCGAGCGCTGCGACTCGGCGGCGTTTCTCTTATCGTGCTCATCGCATTCCTGAATATCATTGCCGTGCATTTTTTTCGCGCTCGCTTCGCGTAACCGCTGCCTCTCTGTGTCTCTCTCCCGTCTTTTTGCGCCCCGATATCGAAACTGGTGTAATCTCAGTGAATTTAGATGCCGCGTGTGCGGCGAACGCGCGAAGGTAATCTCTATGTTTATATCGCATCGCGGGCATGCAGGGTGATTTTTCCGCGGACGTTTAACCTGCTTACGTTACACCGCGATCTCGATACCCGTCCATGGATCGTCTTATTCGTTTTCGTATCTTCTCGTCGCTTAGTTAGCGATACATTTTTTTTTGTTTTGCACACGTTTTCTCTCTGCCGCTTTCTCGTCGTCGAACTGCTTAAAGCTCATCTCGATCGTACATTGAACTCATTAGCATTATACGTACGACTGTTGCTTTCGGCGTTTCTTCGAATTCCGCTTAATTTCCCTAATTGGAAACGAGTCGCGGCCCCTTTAACGAGTGGGAGCAAACACGTGACTCGCGGAGAGCCCCTTTGTTTCGCATAAAGTCCCCAACTCCTCTTCCCCACAAGCCTTATTACCTCGGACGTTCGTTCTCGCCTGCTCCGTTCGCAAAGCTCTCGGCGGCGGGCCGAGCCCGCCGCGTTGAGATCCTCCAGATTCTTATGCGTATGTTGTATTATGGTTATATAGGTGGGCCGATCTTTTCTCTCTTTCTCTCTCCTTCCTCTTTCTTTCGCTCGCCCGCTGCCGAGCCGTGAATGCGAACTGTAGGAGGCTGAGTTAAGGACAGGTACCAGTGGAATGCCGTCTTCGAACCGACCGCCTGAGAGTCCCGACCTCCGTGTTCCGTGTGCCTCTCCTCCGATGCGATCCAAACACTCTCGCAGCGTGCCGCGTACGCGAGCGCGCCACGCCGCCTCGGACCCTTATGAATAACAACAAAGCGGATGACGAATTGCTCGCGAAAATCGTCAAATCGAGCTTGATCAAAGAAAAGCGGCGAAAACGAATGGCATTATGAGAAAATAAGTCTGCAAGTTACGAAATTCCTGCATGCATCTTCGAAAGGAATTTTTTAATTAAATATATATCGGTGTAAAATTCGATAATATAAATTATAATTCTTAAACAGAAATTCTGAAAGGACAGAAAACGAGGGCCAGAATTAATTGCAATCAATCTATGTTCTATTTGTGATATATAAATTTGCATTTATTTTGATTTAGCTTATGTAGTACAATTAGCATTGAATTGTAACAGGAAATTTGTTGAAGCAATCTATTCACTTATTCTCACCTGTCTCGTTGTCCAGATACGGCGCACACCTTTTATAAACCGTATCGTATATTTTCGGGCGAATATAAATTCATTATTACTATTAGCTTGCTGCAAATGAATTCTAACTTCAATGAAGATCTTAACGCTTTTAGAATAAGCTCGTGCAATATAAAAAGTGTCACCTTGTATAAATCACCCCATTCATTTTTATAAATAGGAACAATCGCATTCGCGCGAAACTCGCTCGTTTGCCGGCCAAATTACCAAACGCGGGAGAATAAAGGAGACCGCGTTATATAGGTGCACACGTATCGTTTCGGGGCCACGGTCCGTGCCTTGTTTACGTCGCCGTACAGAAGGGCCCGCGGGGCCCGAGGCGCAAGGGGTCCGGAGCAGCGTGAGAGCGGGCGCCTTCGCCGCGGAGCATTTAGCGCGGTGGGCGCTCCTCGCCGCTCACCCTCCCCTCCTCACCCGTCTCAACCCTCGTCGTGCTCTCTTCGCCCTTCCCCTTTCCTCTTTCCCTTTCTCTCTTGTGCGCACCGTCGCTCTCTCGCTCCCGAGGTAATTTATCGCGCGGCGAATTCTAATTATCAGTCTGCCACTTTTAAGATATTTCGCCCTATTACATCTAATAATTAAGAATTGTTTCCAAAAATAAGATTTCCATTTTTCCCGGGACATATAGTATTAAGATCGACAGTACTTGACCATCATAAACGGAATATTACAAATTTCTGGAATCAATCAGGCCAAAGGACCTGTGAGTTTCGTGAGGAAAAATATCGGTGATTAAATCGGAGAACGTTACCGAGATAACGATCGGCAGAAGGATGCCCGATATTACATGGATTCAGAATCGTAAACGTCGCGCGAGCGTCCACGAGGCGCGCGCGCGTTGCCGCGAATGATCGCGGGGCCCCCGGTATTCCTAGTGGACTCGTGTCCCCGAATACCCAATAAACACCGCGTGCGCACAGAGGAGAGCGCGTCGTTTCCTCTCCGTCCTTTCCTCGATCGCTCTTTTTCTCCTCTTTCAGCGAGGGCAACGAGGCCGGCCGGGGCCCGCCGCCGCGGTGTGTGCAGGTACACACGACGAGGACGAACGAAGAGTGTCTGAGCGGTCTGCGGCCGCCATGACAGAGCGGAATGCATGAGAACGCGGAGCTACTGACCCTCTCCCCGTCCTCCTCTGCCCCCCCCCTCTCTCCTCCGCTCCCTCAATCCTCGTCTCATATATGCCTCTCTATGTCTCTTTCCCTCGTACACTCCCTTAACCCCTCGAGGATCCCTTTCACCCCTCTCCCTCTTTCTTCCCTCGCCGGTTTTTCTTTTCGCTCTCTCGCTCGCGAGGTGGAAGAGTTCACCTCTCTTTAATCTCCATATCAATCTCGCTCGCCGAAACAGCCGCCGCCGGGCTTTTAATCGCGCCGATTCAGAATTATTCGGAACAACGCTCGCGCTCGGTTTATCCCTCGTTGTAACGCGTCGCGATACCGATGCGCACGTCTTTCGACGCGCGTCTTTCCCTCTCTTTCTCTTTCTCTCTCTTTCTCCCGTATCGTTAATTCAGCCGAGCGCGCACATAATTGACTCGTACGAGCCGTAGCGCGAGCGCACGCATTGCCGGAGATAAGTAGAGAGAGATATTCCAACGGCGTCCGGATCTCCTTCGATACGTGCCCGATAAATGTTTCTGAAAAATTCCCTTGCGATTCCACTATGTTTCTATATCATGCAAGAAGAACATATAGCTTCTTTATAACAATTACATTTTTATATAAAATGTCTATGTGTTCAACATTCGTACGAAAAAAAAAATCTGAATAATTTTGTAAAATTTATATTAAATTATCAAAAGAGAAGAAGACTTTATAAGTATTTAAATATTTATGTTTTTCGCGATAATAAATTTCTTATGTCTCGCACTGTCCGGTTTTTGCAAGTCGTGTAGTCGCACCGAATCTCGAGGCTGTGTCTCGCAGGTGTCGAAGGTATCGAAGATCGCGCGGCAAGCTGAAGAAATTCGACGAATATGTCTCGAAGGAGATTACTCTTCTGCGAAATCGCGGGCTGAGAGACAGATG